CATATTCTATGTTTAACATTACAAGCACGTAAACATTTTTAATCAGTTAAGGAGAAAATTATGTGCTTACAGCATCTTATATGATTGCCTTTACTATTTTCTTATGCACATTTGAATTACTGAGGTCTCTTGCTTTCAGCCTGAAGAACCCCTTAGTCCCCTGTAAGGTAGGTTTTTGAGCAACAAATCCTCCCGGTTCTTGGTTATCTCATCTTCACCACACTGAAATGACTAACCTATATCCAACTTTATCAGATCTAATTCTTAGCTGACTTCTTTCTTCTGACAGTCCAAATTTATAACTGGAGTTCTTCTATTGAATATTTTATTCTAGCTATTGGACTTTTCAACTCTAGAACTTTCATTTGACTCTCTTTTATAATTTCTCTCTTTAGTGACATCCATTTGATTTGGCAGTATCCTGTTGCCTTATTTTACTACTCTGTGCTTCCCTTAAGTTCTGGGAATATATTTATAATGGCTAAATCTTGTGTGTGTGTGTGTGCATTCAAGAGTGTGTGCTTGTACAGGGATGTGTACTTGTGTGGTGCACATGGAAATGTGGAAGCCTTAGGTCAAAATCAAGTGTCTTCCACTATTACTCTCTACTTTTGAGTGACAAGGTCACTCACTGACACTAGAGCTCAATGATTCAGTTAAACTGGCTGGCCAGCAAGCTCCAGAGATCTTCCACTCTCCAGCACAGCTTTTAGATGGGTGTTTAAGATCAAAGCTCAGATTCTCATACTTGCATGGCAAGCAGTTTAAAGACTGAACAATCTACCCTAAAGCCTTTTTTTGTTACCTCCGACCCCTGTTCCTCTCACAGGGACTTCTGTAGCTAGCTTCCCATACCCACCTCCTCTTCCTTCCTTGTACTGGTCATATTTTCCCGTTTCTTTGCGTATCTCAAAGTTTTTGATGTTTTGGACATTTCAGTTAATATATTTTAGTGATTCTGGGTACAGATGCCCTAACCAGGGCTTTTATTTGGTGGGGGAAGGGCAGCACTCTGTCCTTGTGTTTTTGAGACAGGACTTGCTCTGTAACTCAGGCTGGCCTTGACTGCTCCATTCCCCTCCCCTCAGTCTTGAAAGAGCTAAGATTACAGACACAGACCATCAAATCCAACTTCAAGACTTACCATTTACTTATTTGTCTTGTGGCTGGCTGGATGACTTTAACAAAATCTATTTATCTCACAGTGTGAAGGCCTGAGACTTTTCCTCACAGGGAGGTGTTTATTTGGGTAGTGAACCTTGAATGACATGGCTTTAGTCTTCCCTTTCCATGACCATCTAGCTAGCTGTTAAATTCTAATTGTGCCTTGTTTTTCTAATTATGAAACAATGCCCTGGGGCACAACCTGTATACAAACTAGCCTACTGATTGCTGGTTACTCTAAGGGAGCTGCTGAGGTAAATGTTTGATCTCTATTCTTACCTAAGAAGAGTTCCCTAATAATTTCTTGCAAACTGGAAAACATGCAGCCTAGGCTGTGTCTTTATGAAATCCTAGTACTCACTAAAACCTAGTACTCTCAAGACTGTCTTCAGGCATGAACTTTCCCACTGTGTTTCAGGTTGTCGGACCCTGAAGTCCATCTACTAGCAGGACTCACCCCAAGAGACCACTCTCACACCACAGCTGATGTAAAAGCAAGAGAATTTAATTCTGTCGCAACAGGGTCTTTCAGCATTCGAGAAGCCAAAAGACCCCAAATAGCTGGTATAGGCTACTTTTAAAGTAAAAAGCCATAGAAACAAGGGGGGGGGGGGACTCATCTGAGGCATGGCGAGAGAGTGGTTGCTAGATGAGGCGAGGTAAGAGGGAAACATCTGTGAGTCATCCTAACCGTATCCTAGGAACTGAGTCAGTATCCCCTAACCAAGGCCGAGGAACTGAGTCAAAGTCTAAGGGTTATCTTGCCCCAATTCCAATAACTGAGTTCTATTTGGAGAACATTCACAAGGACTCAGGGAGATGGGAAGTTCCCAACATTCCAGTATGTGCATGTGTAGTTGTTAGGTCTTTGGTTCCCAGGGGAATAAGGGAGCACTACTGCTGAGAGGCCTCAGACTTGTCCTAGAGTTTTTCAAAGTGAAGTTATGTCTTCTGGGATAAGATTAGGACAATCTGGGTTTTGTCTGTTTGTTGGTTTGGTGCTAGGGGTTTAATCTGGTCCACTTGCATCAGCTTTATTAGAGCTATCCCCCCCTAGTCAACAACTCTGTTTAAGTCCTGCTCCCTCCATTCCTCAGGCAAAATCTGAACCAGGACTCTGGAGATGGGGAAAGGGATAATGGCAAGCTTTTCTCTGTCCCTTTCCCCACCAATTACAGGACCGAGTTTTTGGTGGAAAAAAACACAACAGGGTGAGGTTTCAACTTGCCTTTTCTGAGGTCAATAACTGCCTCACAAGTCAAGGTCAAGGAAAGAGCAGTTTGGTCTTAAACCTTTTGAGTATGCCACACCCTGTTCCACAGGTAGGGATTGGGTAGAAAAAGGTGGCTCCACTCTCTAGGACACCTTCCTAAGACTCAGTCAGCCTCAGCAACAAGGATGGAGCCTATCTAACTCATCCGAAGGGGGAAAGAGCACTGCCAGTCTTGAAGTCTTTACTCAAACTACTGCCTCTCACCTTATTGAATTTCCACTGATTTCTTGCTGTAGCAGTTGTTCACCCTTACAACTATTTCCAAAGCATGTTTTCAAAAGAATGTTCTCGGCTGGGTGGTGGTGGCGCACGCCTTTAATCCCAGCACTCGGGAGGCAGAGGCAGGCGGATCTCTGTGAGTTCGAGACCAGCCTGGTCTACAAGAGCTAGTTCCAGGACAGGCTCCAAAACCACAGAGAAACCCTGTCTCGAAAAACCAAAAAAAAAAAAAAAAAGAATGTTCTCTAGTTTTGAAGTAGAATATATCAGTGGAGCTCCTGATACAGTCAGCTAAAACCAAAGCTTAGGAGCTGAGTGGTTTGTTCCAACAGTTCCAAGAGCCTGTAAAGCTGAAATGATTGACTACTACACAGCCGTGTGTACAAACAATCTGGTAACTCCTGACTTACTGTCACTCCTACTAATGTTGCTGGATAACAAATACTAAATTAAGTACCATCCTGGCTAAAAGCTTAGTCTAAAGCTCAAAATCTTGAGGCACTCTACATATGTAAGAAGGAAGGAAATATTAAAGGTTTTTTTCCACATTTTTTTTTTTTTGGTTTTGATTTTTCAAGACAGGGTTTCTCTGTGTAGCCATGGCTTGACTGTTCTGCAACCATTTTGTAGACCACCCTGGCCTCAAACTCACAGAGATCCACCTGTTGCTACTTCTGAAAGCATCACCACCGCCCCTTTCAGAGGCTATTGCCACATTCTATAGCCCACACTAGACTTGAACTCTCACGATTCTCTGGCTCAGTCTCCTAAGCACTGGGTTTCCAGGTGTGAGCTGACGCACCTGGCCAAAAATATTTCAACAAAATGTTAAACAATAAAAATTAAAAAGTTAAATAAGATGGGGGTAATATCAACCAATCAAACAATTCTTTCTTTCATCGGATACCAGCTGAGTGTCCTTTAATTCAATGCTGACACACTACTTGGAATGTTAAATCTCATGGGTTAAAGTATCAGTCACACAAGTTGGCCTCCTGTGTCTGATGCCAAGCACAGGCTTCTGACTAGCAACAAACTGAGGTGCCACACTCCCTCTTTGGGTTCAGTTTGTTTAGTAGAGCACCTCACACTCATATTTACCTATTTTTTTAATCAGGGATATTACAAAGGACACAAGATATTACCAGCTTTCTTAAATGCAAAAAGCAAGGCGTGTGGGAAAGGGTGTAGAGTGTAGAGTTGTATGCCCACTCCTAGTACACATGTTCAGATGGAAGCTCTCTAAACACCTTCCTTTTGGGAGTTTATGGAGGCTTATTATAAAGGCATTATTGATTAAATCACTAGCTTTTGGTGATCAATCTAACCATCAATCCCATCTTGAGTGAAGAATTGAGAAGTCCCAACCTTAAGGATGCTAACTTTTCTGGCAACCAAGCTGAATCCTAAACTAAAGCCAACTTATTAGCACGCAAGAAGACACTTATTACTCTGGACATTCAAGAAGCAATGGGCCAGGAAACCAGATTGAATATATTCCAGGGTCATAATCCTGACTGATTTTTTTTTGGTTGTTTTGTTTTTTGAGAGTTAAATGTATAAATGTCTGTGGATATAACCCAGTGATGGAGTGCCTGCACAGCACACACACACACACACACACACACGCTTTCAACAGATGATAGCTATTATTACCATGTTAGAAACTACGGAAAGTAAACGTAAGTCACTCTTTCCTCAGAGTTTTTCCTAGAAACTTTAAAGTTTTGGACAGGAAAAAGTACAAACTTTCAACAAAACTAGGTGCAACTTTTTGGTCTTTTGTTTTTTGAGACATGGTTTCTCTGTAGTTTTGGAGTCTATACCGAAACTAGCTCTATAGACCAAGCTGGCCTCAAACTCACAGAGATCCGCCTGCCTCTGCCTCCCAAGTGCTGGGATTAAAGGCATGCACCACCACTGCCCGGCTAGATGTAATTTTTAAGATCTAGCGTACATAATAATTCCCAATGAAAAACTCCCTGGAATACTAAACGCAAACCCTACACACTGTAAACTAGTGTGTTACTATGGAAGATTCCAGTTTTTTCCAATAACAAATGAATGAAAATAACTTTCAAGAAGTGCCAAACCCAAGAGACCCACGTTTTGTTTTTAAAAGGCAACAACTAGCTTTAACTTGTGATCTGGGCCTAGAAAGTCCTTTCCGGTTCTGACCATCTCCACCCTTGCCCAGAGATGGTATCTACAGAATCCCTCAAGCTTCCACCTCGACTGTCACCGCAGCCAGGGCGCCCCGTGGGTGGAGACGCGCACTCCGGCCGGACAGGCAGGGATTCCGCGGCTCTCCGCTCATAGTCCGTCGGGACTGGCGGCCGGTTACCTCGCAATTGAACTCCATCTCGGCGTCCATGGTGACGATCCTCACAGTGAATGTCTTGGGCTGCTTCCTCTTGAGCGAGCTGAAGCTCATGCGGGAAGCGATGGCTCCAGCCATGGCGCAGGGGTCTGGCCTGGGACCCTCTCACCCCTAGGCTCTGGGTCTATTAGCCCCCCTGGAGGAGCTGCACAGGCCTCAGGGCCACCATGGTGGCCGGCTGGCCGGCCCGAGACAGACCTAGGCTGCGTGGGTCCCCAGCGGCCACCATGGGCCGCGAGGACCCGGCCCTCGGAGTGGAGAGGCGAGTTAAGGGACAGTCTCTGACGGCAGCAGAGACGGGACGCGGGCAGGAGCGGGCGCGGCCCGGCGCTCGGAGCTTCGGGCTGGGGACGCCCGGGGACGCCCCTTGGGCTGGAATCCTAGACGGCTGCGGCGCGGACGCCGCGCGCCTCTCAGCGGCCCGACGGGGGTCGCGGGGCCGCGCAGGAGTCGGGAGCGCACGCACGCGTGCTCGTCTGTCACTCCGCGCGCCCTCGGGAAGAGTCCTCCACCAACCCCCACCTCCGCGACCCGCCGGGCCCCGCCCCGCCCTCAGGCCGCTCAGAACGCTACACAAGGATGCAACCTAACACATCTCAGAGGCTATGATTGGCTGAAGTGCCAAGGAAGGCGGGACTTCCTCTCCGTCCCGCCTCCTCCAGGGCCACTTCACCAATTGAAAGTTGCACTGAGCCTGGGGCGCGGGGTTGTGCTCGGCGTTGAGTGGCTAGAGAGGCGGTCACTCCGAACGCTTTTGTTCGTAAAGCGTACGCCTACTCTAGCAAGACTGGTGGAGAAGCGCAGGTGGCGCCTTTCCCGGGAAACGTGTGGAAGCTCGGCCGCACCTCACGAGGTGCTTCGTGGATGGAGACCGCCCCTAGAGAAACGCATCGTCCCGCCGAAATTCCATTTTGGCCCCCACTTACCTGCCTGATCCTCCAGCTTCTCTTTACGAGAACTGCAATTACCAAAGGGACCGTGATTGTCCTTCCTTACCTTCTGAAGTAGTTGAGGAATTTGAAGCTTGTTTAATACATACAGCAAGCTTTTGAAAGGTGCCTGACACCTACTAGGTTGAATCCTATGAAACTGAGCTACATCAAAAGAGGTGAGAAAAATGAAAGCATTTTCATTGTGTCCTCTGCATTTTTTGTTTTTCCACACTACATACATGTAGTACTTGTGCCTTACTGTTATCAAGTGTTATGTATAGGAGAATTTCAGCTTTCAAGGAGAGTTGTAGAGTTTTGTTTGTTTTAAAGATCTATGTCCCAGTTACTGTCCTGTTGCTGTGAAGAGACACCATGACCAAGGCAACCCTTCTAAAAGAATGCGTTTAATTGGGGGCAGGCTTACAGTTTCAGAGATTTAGTCCATTATCATCCTGGTGCTGGGGCAGTAGCTGCGAGTTATATCCTGATCTGTAGGCTTAGAAAAAACTGATGCTTGGCTCAGATCTTTTTTTTTTTTTCAACAATAGGTTTGATTTCTTTTTATTTTGGTTTTTGTTTGTTTGTTTGTTTTGTTTTGTTTTTTTGAGAGGGTTTCTCTGTAGCTTTGGAGTCTATCCTGGACCTAGATCTTGTAGACCAGGCTGGCCTCGAACTCACAGAGATCCGCCTGCCTCTGCCTCCCGAGTGATGGGATTAAGGGCATGAGCCACCCTTTATGGGCTCAGATCTTACGATAAGGCTAGAATGGGTCCTCGTCTGCTCTAACCCAGAGCTGCTGACTAGTGTGCTGCTCTGGGTGAGGCTTCCAACTTTTCCTTGTTGAGGTTCAAAATATAGGGAGTGGGAGCCAGGCAGTGGTGGTGCACACCTTTAATCTCAGCACTCGGGAGGCATAGGCAGACAGATCTCTATGAGTTCGAAGTCAGGCGATCTACAGAGTGAGTTCCGGGACAGCCAGGACTGTTACAAAGAGAAACCTTGTCTCAAAAAAAGCCAAATACACACACACACACACACACACACTTGGAATGGAGCTAACAAGAACAGAATATAAGAATTTATATGTGTGAAAATATCATGATGAAACCCGGTTTTGTATGTACAGAAAGTTTAAAAGGCATTATATAAATAACAAGATTGGATTTCTGTAGTATTCAGCAGACTTTGCTGTTAGAACTCTACCATAGCATAAGTCTTGCTCTTCTGGAATAGACCCCTGGAAGGAAATTGTTGCATGGACCCACCAGAGAGGATGCCACCAAAATGATCCTTTAGGGTTCTGTGGCCTTGGTGTGGGAATATTTTTATTGCTTCAGTTTTTCTATGCTGATGGGAAAACCAGGTTGGATTCTTCCCTTGGCTTCCTGCAGAGACAACAAATAACCCAGGGCCAAAGATACTGCCAGTAAATAAGTGATTTGGGGAAGCCACTGAGGAGCAGCAGAGGGAAGTAGCTCACACAGCAGGAGCTAAAATATAATGTTGATGATCAATAATAGTTCATTTTTATAGAAGATTTCCTAGGTGCTAGGCTCAGGGCTAATCTGCAAAATACTCTATTCAAAGTTCCTGGGAAGATGTCCAGATAAGATAGGCAGTTGTGAATCTCAAAAGAGAGGGCCAGGAATGAAAACAGATATAATGGGAGCTAGAGATGGCCCAGTGATTAACAGGCCCTGAGTTCAATTCCCATCACCCAAATGGGACAGCTCACAACAGCCTGTAAATCCAGCTCCAGGGGATCTGATGCCCTCTTGCTGGGCTCCTCGGGCACCTGCACTCACATGGGGGTTCTGCCACACACACAGACACACGCACACACACGTGCACATACACACACAAACCTAATTACAAAATAAAATGGGTGAGGTGGCTAAAGAGATGGTTCTGCGGTTAAGAGCACTGGCTCCTCTTCCAGAGGACCTGGGTTCAATTCCCAGCAATTATTTTAGCTCCCAGTCACCTGCAACTCTAGTTCTAGATCATCTAAATGTGGTACACAGATAAACATGCAGGTAAAACACCCATACACATAAAATAAAAAAATAATAGTTTTAGAATAGGAGCTGCAGAGATGACAGAAGGTACGAGCACTAGCTGTGCCAAGTATGATAGTGCATGCCTTTAATCCCAGCACTGGGAAGAAGGGAGAGGAGGATCTCTGTAAGTTTGAGGCCATGTCAGCTAAATTGTGAGTTCCAGGGCAACCAGGCATACATAGAGAGGCCCTGTCTCAACAACAAAACAAACAAACAGAAAAAAAACCCACCACTAACAACAACAAAAAAGCACTGACTGCTCTTCCAGGGTACCCAGACTTGTTTTCCAGCACTCATCTAGTGGCTCACAACTGTCCGTAACTCCAGTTCCAGCGAATCCAATGCCCTCTTCTACCAACTCAAGCACCAGGCACACAAGGAGTGCACAGACATGCAAGAAAAACACCTGCCCACATAAAAAGTTTAATTATAAAGTATCTTTAAGGAACTGGAGAGATGGTTAGGCAGTTATGACCACTGATTATTCTTCCAGAGGACCCAGGTTCAATTCCCAGCACCCACATGGCAACTAGTTAATGTTTGTAACTCCAAGATATGACACTCTCACACAGACATACATGCAGGCAAAACACCAATGGACATATAATAAAATTATAAAATCTTAAACAATAGATATGGCCATTTGTTGTGGAATATTAACTATTTAAAGATGTGTTACATTTATTTATGCTGTGGAATACTACTTTAGCCGTGTAAAGTTTAACAATGTATGAATGTGTGTCTAATTATGTAAAGATGTATTGCATTTGTTTCACTTTGTCTGCCTAAGACACCTGATTGGTCTAATAAAAAGCTGAACGGCCAATAACTAGGCAGAGAAAGGATAGGCAGGGCTGGCAGGCAGAGAGAATAAATAGGAGGCAGACTCTAGGCTCTGGAAAGAGCAAGAAAGGGAGAGGAGGAAGGAGAAGAGAACAAGGGACACGCCTGGGGCAAGACACCAGTAAGATAAACAGAAGGAAAGAAAAGTAAAAATCCCTGAGGCAGAAAGAAGATAAAGAGAAACAGGCTAATTTAAGGCCTAAAAGAAGCTTAAATTAGGTCTGGGTCATGATTTGGGAGCTGGTTGGTGACCTAAAAGAAAAGCCTGATACAGCTCTTCTTGAGGTGACTCACACCTTCAATTCCAGTACTCAGGAAGCAGAGGCAAGTGGATCTCATGAGTTCCAGGCAGCCAGGGCTATGTAATGAGACTGAGACAGCAAAGGGCTCACACAGAATCCTTTCAGTGGAAACACATAGAATAAGTGTTTTTTTGTGATGCTGGTGATGTAGCTAGTTAATTCTGTGCTTGAATTAACTAGGTGAAAACGGGAGGTTCACAAGTTCAGGGTCATCTTCAACCATGCCGTGAATGTGAATGTAACTGGACCAGTTACTTGTATTATTAATGACCAGTTAAATAACATATTGTCATTTACAGCCTTTTAAAAGTAAAGTAATCTGTATACATTTTATAAAAATTGAAGCCAGGTTTGATGATGCACACATGTAATTTTATCACTCAAAAGGCTGAGGTACTATAGATGGCAGGAGCTTTGAGGCCAGCCTGTGCTACATAGCAAGAACTTGTCTCCCAAAGAGGAATGGGAAGGGAATGAGTTGGGCAAGTCTGAGGAGAGAAGTGAGGAGTTGGGGCTAGATATGATATCAAATACATTGTTGGCATGTATGAAATTATCAAAGAATAAACCAGGTGGTGGTGGCGCATGCCTTTAATCCCAGCACTTGGGAGGCAGAGGCAGGCGGATCTCTGTGAGTTCGAGACCAGCCTGGTCTACAAGAGCTAGTTCCAGGACAGGCTCCAAAATCACATAGAGGGCTGGAGAGATGGCTCAGAGGTTAAGAGCACCAGCTGCTCTTCCAGAGGTCCTGAGTTCAATTCCCAGCAACCACATGGTGGCTCACAACCATCTGTAATGAGATCTGGCACTGTATCCTGGAAAGTGTATATATAATAAATAAATAAATAAATATTAAAAAAAACACATAGAAACCCTGTCTCAAAAAAACCAAAAATTAAATAAATAAATAAATAAATTATCAAAGAATAAATGTAGATCTGGGCGGTGGTGGCACACGCCTTTAATCCCAGCACTCAGGAGGTAGAGGCAGGTGGATTCTGAGTTTGAGGCCAGCCTGGTCTACAAGAGCTAGTTCCAGGACATGAACCAAAAGCTACGGAGAAACCCTGTCTCAAAAATTAAAAAAAAAAAAGAATAAATGTAAAAGGAGTTTTAAAAAAAACAACTCCACTTTTGGAGATAAAAGCAGGTGGATCTCTGAGTTCCAGGCCAGTCTAGTCTATGTGGTGAGGCCCTTTCTCCAAAAATGAAAAGGAGCTGAGGAGGTGATTCAGTTAGCAGAGGGCTTGCCTTGTTTGCATAATGCCCTGGGTTCAATCCTCAGCACCAAGTAAACCTGTTCCAATAATTCCAGCATTCTAGAGGAACATCAGAAGTTCAAGGTCATCCTCC